ATGAGCAGGATCCTTCCATCCTTTTCTCGGATTGGGACCTGTTCATATACGTTCTTGGCAGCTGATCCAGAAGTGGTTTGCCCTTGCCTTCTTCTGTGTGTGAATGGAGTAATTGTTGGGATGCCACGGAGGAAAACTCCGTGTTGCCTAGACCACGGCCTTGCCCAACACAAGTTATAAATTCGGGCACCGCCGGGAATCGGACCCGAGACCCCCAGGATTACAAGGCCAGCGTTCTAACAATAAATTGTATTACTATTCAGCACTGGAAAAGTTAATTTATTTTAACGCTGACAGGCCATATCACGCTAGTTCTAATAATATTTCATAAATAACATGAAGATGAATGGAGAGCAATTAACAGAACGGGACAATTCCATTTCTCCAGAGAAGGAATTACACGACATTGACGGGAGGAAGCGATGGCGGATGTTGAATAATTAGATAATTGTCAATTAACGAGGCTATAATCTTACCTAATCTGAAGGACATCCACTGTATGTCATTGTCTATTGTTCCTTAGTTTCCAGAGCCACTGACTGCTTTTTGTGGAATGTTGTGTGGAAGATTTATGTTAAAGAATGCCTAAAAAATACGATTTTGAAGGCAGCTGATCATTAGGGAAATATAAATAAATCTGAATAAAATACACACACCCAGAATTACATTTGAAAGCTCGTGTGTTAGGTCCAAAGCAAACGCGAGTTCAGCTTCGCTTAACTTTATCTGTGAACGTGGATTGGAGATACCACACGAAACACATGAATTATCTTCTAACAGAGAGTATCCTAATATTGTCTGTTAAAACACGTTTCGCGCATAGTTACAAGAGACAGATAAGAAACACCGCGTAACTTGAAAGCGCGTGTATCAAAGGGGTTTGTTTCCAGTGAGTTTGTATTAAAAATGTAGGCTATTTTTTAAAGTGAACACTTTTCAATAAGTAAGTCAAGTGACTGTTATTTGTTCCTTTGTTTTGTAAATGAAACAGCTTTATAAAACTTACCGCTTAAATATATAAATAAACACGAAATACTGAGCTCGTGTTAAAATATTTATTTGTTATTAGTCTGATAGAGTACGCATCACAAACAATTCTGAAAACGATGTGATGAACTTAATAAATCAAGGAACGAATTAAATTACGAAGCATCCATCAATCTTATAAACTTTGTCTTCTTTATAAACTGATTTCAGGGCAGCGCTGGTTTCCATGTAACGAGCATGGTCGCTGAGGAAACCTCACAATGTAAGTTCGCCAGTTAGTGTATCGACTATCGAAGTGTTCTGCTCAGACGAAATAGAGCTATTGCTTTATATTCTGGAGATATCTGAGCTCGAACCTCGGGCAGGAGCCCGTCATCCACCCAGTGGCCTTCCAAAGCCTCTACAGTTGTAACAAAGGATTGTAGCTTAAATAATTAGCGTAATTGTCTCTAAATCAAGACTAATAAAGATTCACAAAAGGCTTCTGACTGGTTGATTCATTGTATAAACATATTGGATGACATTATTTGTTTGTTCTCACGGCGATGTAGACTTAAGTGTTGGGTTTCAAGGCTAAGACAGAGATAGTTCCTTCCTCCTTAACGTTGGTGTTTACCTACAGGTCCAAACAGCTTTACGATTCAAAGACGAACATTGACATATTAATTTTTTATTTGTGGCGTGACAGGTGTAATATAGCAAAACCGGTTCAGTGACTGGCAGTGCTAAGCGCTTTCCAATGAAAGTATTCTTACCTCAATATTTTAAAGGCCACGTGAAAATAAAAATTTTGCCTTGTTAACAACACGCAGTCCTGTCATGATTACTGACCTGATCCTACTGAAGACGTAGGATAAGAAAACAAGAAACTAACATACATATCAAATCTATCCCTATCTCCGGACTTCTTGGATATTATCCATCGTCTAGTAAATATAAAACGTAAAACGACGTTTCGGAGATGGGACTCTATCTCCGTCTTCAGGTTCCTACACAGTTGGGCCCACTAGATAGAGCTAATCCCTATCTCCGGACCACGTTTTATATTTACTAGACGATGGATAATATCCAAGGAAATTTTTATTCAATTAAACTAACATACAGTTTATTTATTTTTGCTTTCAAATTCATATGTAATGATCACAACAAGAGAAGCTTCAATTCCGGCAGGTCTTAGATGTTTTCTTCACTAAGGCGTCCTGACAGATTCTGGTGTCCTCATAGTCTCTAATTCTATGGGCAATGGGGGTTATGTACATGGGGGTAAAATGACGGGAAAGTGAAGATGACCTGCTCACTTCCTTCTAGTACCGAGGTTATGAATGAGGCCGAGCTTTACCTCCACGTCCCCACACGTCTTCATGTGTTAGTGTTTAGGCGCGGAGACGACGTTACTTACATACATTTAGGAACTATTTTCTTCAGTTCATGACAGGCTGAAAGGTCAGAGGAACGTTGTGGACGTCGTGAATTGTCGGAGGCGTATTTCGTTGCTAGACATTCCGGGAGCTGACTGTACTGTCGTCTTCAGGTGACTGATTACCCTGCTAGTCTGTTTCATAGTTAGTTAGCGAACTGGCTTAGACGAGTACGCTTACCACCTTGGTGTTAGTGGTGGCCTAGCATTCGAAAGGTCCCGGGTTTGATCCCACCGTTATCACTAATAGAATGTGTCAGTATGACAGCCATCGTCTCCCAAAACGCCGTGTATATAAAATATGCTTCAGACAATGGATAATGGCCAACTGAATATTCCCGTAACGAATCAACAAACATTTAGATAATAATTTGTGCATAATTATTGCCTTCAATTTCTTAGCGACTTTAATTTCATTTGTGTGGTGTTTCGCAGAGCTGTGGTTTGTAATACTTTCAGGCTTAGTACTTCTAAAAACGAATTAAAACTTAACATTTCCATAATGTACTTATGGTTCTAAGTAACAGCGGTCAAATTATGGAATAAATTTATACCAAATTCGGTATGGCATACCTGTATAAAATTTTAGAGCCATCCTGACTTCTGTTTACTTTGGTTCATTATGAGGAACTTTTACCCTGTGTTTTTGTGTTTGTTCTAGAAAAGGTTAATAGAATTTTGTTGGCTGGTTCTGGGACTTCGCCAACTTTTACGATGTTATAGATGTGGGCAAACCGGTCCTGAACGAAAATGCAAATTAATGAAACCTGTTCGTAATCTGGAAACTTCTTGCATAAATTTACATTAATTAGTGTCTAACACAAGAGAAGTTTTCAAATTTTTCCATGACCATTTGAAATTATCGAGGGTCTTAGTGGATCACTTAATACTTTCCTGTCTTCTTTAATAATTATTATGTTCTGCGTCCTTAATGCAAAAGACGAGAATAAATAAGCTTATGTCTTGTCACTTCTGTTCTTACTTGCATAACAATTACACATTTGAACACAGCCGTCTTCAGACTCGACGCCGAGAAAACCTCAAATCCTAATTATACATCTGTATTAATGATGTTTCATGATATTTTATGAATTCATTTTTTATCGGGCCTTTTGAATGAAGATGCAGACATTTCAGAGATGATTATCGCCCTGATGATATGAGTAATAAGCACCTTTGAAACGTCGGTTAACGTTTATCAGTCTTCACGGCGCAACGTCCCAGAAGACGACCATTTTTTATTCTCACGGCAGTGAGAACGTTAAATCTGAACCACTTGAACGAAGATCACAGAAAACTGGTGGTCCGCGGATCATACTTTGGAAACCCTGCCTTGGCCTTGTAATCCTGGGGTCTCGGGTTCGATACCCGGCGGTGCCCGAATTTATAACTTGTGTTGGGCAAGGCCGTGGTCTAGACAACACGGAGTTTTCCTCCGGGGGCTTCCCCGGTTTCTCCGTGGCATCCCATTCACACACAGAAGAAGGGAATGGCAAACCACTTCTGGATCATCTGCCAAGAACGTATATGAACAGGTCCCAGTCCGAGAAAAGGATGGAAGGATCCTGTTCATATGAACCTGTCGTCATAATAATAAATACCAACAAAACTTTACAATATTTCATGTTTATCCGTGTTGTACAGATGGTGTGTACAGGAAGAATGTGGCAAATAGCTCCGAGGTTGCGGTTGGGAACACCAACGAGTTCCTGGCTAACAGCAGCACGCAGGCGCAGAAAACAACCAAGTCGCAAGACAGAATAGAGTTGAAACGAGAGGTTGGACTTTTCAGCGCAGTCAACCTTATCGTCGGGGCAATGATAGGTAATGACTTTGTCACTTGATATTCTAATATCTGCGTGTCTGTGATACCCTGAAGTTTTATACAACGAGGTGTCGCATAGCACAGTAGTATTCAACCTTTTTTTTCTAGCGCTTAGCGCGGAGTTTTCCTCCGGGGGCTTCCCCGGTTTCTCCGTGGCACCCCATTCACACACAGAAGAAGGCAATGGCAAACCACTTCTGGATCATCTGCCAAGAACGTATATGAACAGGTCCCGTTCCGAGAAATGGAAGGATCCTGTTCATATGGACCTGTCGGCAGACAGAACACTAAATAAAATATAAATAAATACCCCCAGATATAATTTCTCTTCAACTTTGTACCCCCAAAGTTGTTGGTGTATAATTCAAGTTATACATAGTATATAATCTACATCTAAAATCAATTAAATAAATTACATTACTGATTATTCAGTGTTTATCATAAAATAATATATTTATTTTTTAAATTTCACGTACTCCCTAAGATGTCTTCGCGTACCCCCACGGGTACGTGTACCCAGGTTGAATACCACTGGCATGGTATTTATGTAAAAATTGTAAATCATATCATAGGAAGCAAAATTTAAGCCCCACCTACTGAATACTTTTATAATGAATGTGGATTCCTACTTTCAAAGTCTCGCGGTTTTCAGAGGCCAAGACAGAGGAAAACTCCATAACGACAATAATAAGAATATTCTAGGACAGATTTTCTTTATAAATTTTTGACTACACTAAGAAGTTTTGTGAGATGTTCTTTAATTTGTGATAAACCTAGTTTTTTTAACCCAGGAGTTCTCAAAGTCTGATTCCTCCCACAGGAGTACGCGTGGTTTTATAATAATTATTTTCATTTTAAAAACCTGACACTAGTGTAGTTATTGTACAGCAGTGAATCTTGAAAATTCGATTGCTTAATAAACAATAAATAAAATAAATTTTCCTTTCTACATGAAAATAATACGAGTTACGCCTGAAAATATATAAATAATACAAAAAAGTTCTGCGTTATGGGAATTGCCAACGAGAGTTGCTAGGATACGCCTCCGTCTTTACCTAGAGAAAATTGCTACATAAAATAAGACGATCGGTCTTCGACCACAGACAAATTAACATCCGAAATTATGGTTCTAGGATCAGGCATTTTCGTGTCCCCCACAATGGCACTGCAGCAGACCGGTTCCGTGGGGCTCTGCCTTATCGTCTGGGCGACGTGTGGAGCCATCTCTTTATTGGGTAAGCAAATAATGTAACTGTTAATCATAAAGTTTGAAACCTGTCTACAAATTTTTACACTCAGTTTATACACATCTAATGGCAGATTAGAATTTTCTAACACTGTAACCAACTCCGAACTAGAAAATTTATCTTGTGTAAGATTTATGTTGCACACATTTATATTCGAAAGATATGTGGTGTCCAGAATGTGGTATGAAGTCGTATTGTTTAATATTACTACTAGTATAAATGTAATAAATTCAACTGGGTATATGCGATTGAGAAATATATTATTCATATAAAAATTAAGAGCAGATGAAACTCATAAAATACGGAATATTACTGTCTTCTGGGATGTTGTCTTGCAGAAGTTACCGTTGACTATTGTACTTTGCTGTCTATTTGTTATCAACCACTAACTTTCATAGTCACTACAAATACCTGCTCGCTTCCAAACTTACAATTCTTAAAGATACCATTTATGTTATGCATTTAAGGTTATTTGTAATTACTGACTTCTTAAGAGACATTCAACGAAACCGTTTAAACCGATATGCATCTTTGTACGTTACTACGTTTATTTAACGGAGCGTTATAGCTTCCGTGTCGACCGGGGTTCGATCCCCGACGTGGGCAGAGGATTTTTCCTCTAGCCTCTGCGTCCAGACCGGCTCTGGGGCCCACCCAGCCTCCTCTACAATGGGTACCGGGGGTCTTTTCCCGGGAGTAAAGCCGGCCGGGGCGTGATGCTGACCACTCACCCTCATCTAGTGCCGAGGTCAAGGAAGAGAGGAGCTATACCTCCTCTCCCCCCAAGCGCCTACATGGCGTATAGTGGGACAAACTTTACTTTACTTTTTATAGCTTCCGTGTGTAAAAAGAATTACCAGTATTGCCAGCTTCAAATAACTTGCCTGTTTTCAGAATATAGAAACATAGAATATGACTCCTTGACTAAGTAAGTGGTAGGTAATACTACCAGAAGAAGAATCAACACCGGAAACAGTGAAGTCAAACATTTGACACGGAGCAATTTCCATCAAACACACAACCTCGTCACTTCCGGTTGTTCAAATTAATTTTATACAAAGAGCTTCTTAACCAAAATTCTGCATCCATATCCCCATCTCATTTGCTGACCCACGCAGACCACGAAGTTCCTGGTTACCTGATGCCATAAACTGCCCGCTTAACAACGAGCCAAACCTAACCTCACTTTCCAGGAGCGTTGTGTTTCGCTGAACTGGGTCTCCTGGTACCACGCTCTGGAGCTGAGTACGTCTACTTCCAGGAGGCGTTTGGCAGCCTGCATAAGTTCTGGGGCCCTCTGCCTAGCTTCCTCTGCTCGTGGGTGTACGTCGTCGTCCTGCGACCGGCTGAAGTGGCCGTCATCATAATGGCTTTCGCGCAATATGTCTGCCAGCCGTTTGAAATGTACATTGGAGACATTGAGGACGATTCTAAAGAGTTGGCCAAGAAACTTATCGCTATTCTGGCATTGGGTAAGTGTCTACAGAACAGAATTTGGACTTTGTGTGCAAATACAGCGCTATTGCAGTCATGTCGTTTATTAACTGAATACGAGCCAGTGTTCGGCTTCATTGAAAACAGTCTTTGCAGAAACATTGTAACGGAGTACAGTCATGCTCAGAAATAAAGTCGTGTTTTCTAGGAAGGGTTTGACGATTGTTACGCGGGACTGCATAATACAAAGAATTCAAAGGAACAGAACATTCAGGGCTTCCATTAAAAATACTAGAATGCAGCGCCCATACACATTTTAGTTCAGCGATTGTTAAGCGAACGTTTCCAGAAACCACACTCATTTTTAAATGTCTGTACTCTTATAAATGCGGGCTTCAGTCTTTGGTACAAAAAGAATTGCTTAGTCGCTTAGTGTACAAGAATTAAGACACGGAAAATATTCTTGCTTTGAAGATACAATTTAAATAATCTCAATATTGACGACGTTTGAAATTTTTATGAAAGCAGCAGATAGCTGACTGTACTTGAGAATCTATAATTTGGTTCCTTCTTAGCATAGACTGGCATAGATGTATAGAATGTATAATATATAAAGGCGTGACTATACAGTTACTGTGTCTTATATAATGACATTTACAGACATCGCATAATTGAGGACTTGAGCTTTTAAACATTACGATCAAGAGAACTTGCAGTGGTCTTGTTGTCAAATAAGGAATCCTTAATAACATTTAAATAATGTCGAGAATAAGACGATTCTAAATGTTAATATTTACATGTCTGCAGCCCTGCTGACGTATATAAACTTCGCGAGTGTGAAGCTGTTTGTCCGTGTTCAGAACGTGTTCACGATTAGCAAGTTGTTGGCCTGTCTAATCATCGTAATTGGAGGACTATACAAACTGTGTGCTGGTGAGTTATCGACAGAAACAGACAAACCAACACGGAAAATGTGACTCGTGTACTCACTAACCTTATTTTATAGATGTGGAAGATTGCTGGAATAATGAAACAACTATCCCGTACAGGCAGAGCACACTTTATTATAGATTAGAATTAATTAACGTTGCATTCGCAGGAAGTTACGAGAAATTAAACAAGGAAATGCTTACAAATCATAGTCCCGCAATCTTCTAACTTCCCTTAGTACGCTTAAGTGGAAATTTGTTACTCTAAGTAGGTTATAAAATCCGAGCTTTTAGAGTAGAGAGATGAGATGAAGATCTTGACATAATAAAGAGTGAGATAACAGGAGGAGACGGAAGAAAATTTTTAATAACGAGCTTAATAATTTCTGCTCCTTATAAAAATGTTACCAGGTAGGCGAGACATGCAGTACGCATGGGAAATCATAAATAATACATTTCGGTTGCAAAGGAGAAGAATCTACTGTGTGTGACCCTGAACAACAGAGGTTGAAGGTTGCGTCGTCAACTTTGACGATAAAATTAATGAAACTTTACTGTTTATTGTGATTATTTTTTTATTTTTCTTGTTTTGGTAAACAGGTTTGTCACATAAACTGAATGAATAAGAAGTTTTAACGAAATTTCTCATACAAACTACTGATATACGAGGTGCGATCGGAAAGTTTCAAGACTGTGTCAATAGAGGGCGAACCGGATGTAGTACGAGCTTCTGCCGCTAGGGGGTGCGGCCTACATTCATAGTGAATCAGTGTGCCAGCCGGCATCATCGAATTAGCATTTGTTTCTTAGTTACGGGCGTTTTGGTAGTGCATTACACCGACCCTCCTGCGATTTCGGAATGGCGTGTGCATCAAATTTTGCCAAAGACTCGCCAAAATGGCTACGGAAACCTATGAAATGCTAAAGCAAGCATTTGGGGAGTCCGCAATGGGTCGTGCACAAACTTTTGTGTGGCATTCACGTTTTAAAAATGGCCGTAAGATGGTGTTTACAAGCTGCCTTTATTAGCTTGTAATATATCTCAGGTAACAATGAAATTCCCCGAACTGAAGTTCAAATCGTAATTAAAATAAACTTTATTTCTTATAGGACAGACAGAAAACATATCAGGAGGGTTTAAAGGCTCAAATATCTCCGCCCAAAACTTGGCTCTTGCTTTTTACTACGCTCTGTGGCCATTTGACGGCTGGTAAGTTTTTTTCTTTTGAAATTTAATTCTTTGTGTTTAAGTAATACTATTTTAAAGGTGACGATAATCAGGTTTTATGCAAGTTTTCATAGTGTAAAGCAATTCATGTGATTTAAAAATATTGAGCTCTCTTGAAAGCTGAATTGAGATCACTAATTTTACAACTTTTTAAGTACGTAATCCGTTAGCTTATATTTCAATTTCGGTTATAAAATGTCATAGAAAATTATTACCGACTTGCTGAGGAAGTAGTTTCATATTATAAGATAGTATAATTGCGTCATATTGCGAATCAAATATTAAATTAATTATTTGGTTTTTCCGTCAAATCACAAT